CAATGTTTATGATCCGAAAACACCACCAAAACAACATGTCATTGCTCCCCAATTTGTGCATTAAAGGGTCACTATCAAGGAAATAAAAGTGGGTTTCTACAAAAGAGTTTAAATAACATTTAGGGATCAGTGTTTATCAACAACGTGCTAGAGCAGAAGCTATGTCAAATGATGGTAGAATAGTAGAACTGTATGTGTTGGAAGAAGGGGGGGAGGGGAAGATTCCTGCAGCTGGCTTCCTGTTCTGTATTCCTACAGAAACCTATTACGTAATATGAACCCAAAACAGAACAATCCACAGAACAGCAAAGTTCCATATTTATAAAATATCTAATTTCCTGCTCACACAGGACACGTTACTGTTCCTTGGCAACATAGTGATTAATGCCCATACAATGAAACATTGGGGCATGTTGGTAAAGCAGTGAATGTGACTTTTACAAAACATTCACTGGTGTTGAATCAATCACTGTCATTCAAAACACATGCACTTTGTTTCTGTTGCTGTTGGGGGGATTCATCCACTCAATTTGTCCTGGTGAATGGAAATCCACAATTGCCTGGTCTGACCTGGTTCAGATCTGCACATTGGGCTGACTCCCTTTTGATAAGTGTCTGTGGGAGCCAGGAGAAGCTGCCATCTCCTCCATCTGCTTAGCTGAGCAGAGGAGAGGAGGCAGTCGGGGGGTTCCCTGTGATCCGGACAGACACTCAGCAGAGGGAGCGGGCAGATCTGTACTGCTCAAAACGTTTTCTTTAGCTCTTGGCGCTAATGGCTGCCAGCTAGACAATCCACTTGCTGTTGCTCACTCAAAGTTTTCAACAGTTTATCACAGTTTTTTTACACAGACTTGAGGGGTTGCTCATCCAAGGCTCTGGGGCTTCCACCACAAACATAGAAAACAAAAGGGAACAGAGCGCCACCTCCGTGTGTAAAATCGTTTATTACAATAAATAAAACAAGGGATAAAAGTACTCACAAACAAACGTTTTCATCAGGCTTTAACAACAAACGAGAGGCCACACTGTCTGTTGACCCAACATGGTATCCCCCCGACTATGTAACACGGTAGTATCCGGTCACATCACCGGTCACATCAGGGGCAAGCCCCCTTCCTCAGAATCAGATGATTCCTCAGATGATTCTGAGGAAGGGGGCTTGCCCCTGAAACGCGTCAATCTTGGCTGACTGCGGTCGGTGGACGGTGATGTGACCGGATACTACCGTGTTACATAGTCGGGGGGATACCATGTTGGGTCAACAGACAGTAAGATCTGTACTGCCCGGCTGCGGCTGCCTGCACTTCCCTCTCCCCCCGAGATCACTTTCTGATCATGAGGGAGTGAAAAGGAGAAGTGCGACAGTGAGCTGCTATAACTCGCTGAATTGATACCTGCTCAGTGAACGCTTGCCAGGTGTGTGCTGTCACTGTGCATTATGGGCCTAATTAACAGAGAGCCCTAAGGGCCGGTTCACACCATAAACAGTGCGTTCCAGAGCAGTCAGCCTCTGGAACACACTGTATCGCAACCCGGCCGGCTCCACGTGTTCAGGCACGCATGGCACATTAGCGATTGCGTTCCGGTCCAGTGTGATCTGCAAAAATAGTGCTTGCTGCGGTACTATTGACTTCAATGCAGCCCCTCCCGCCCCTGTATGCAGGGACTAGTCGGGTTGCGATACAGTGCGTTCCAGAAGCTGACTGCTCTGGAATGCACTGTTTGTATTGTGAACCGGCCCTGAGGGACTTTTGTTTATAATAAGGGGCACTGTGCACACACAAATCTACATGGCACAGTGCTCTGCGCTGCACTATGTATAGTACGCCAAACCCCATGTGTGAATACACATTTTAAAGGGGAACTATGGATAACCTGACAAACAAACACACACACACAGGGAGAACATGGTCAAAGTTTGGAGTGCAGAGAAATACCGATATAAATAGAATCTTTAACATTTGTAACAAAAAAATGAGCTTCAGCTTCTGTATACAAATGCCCTGTTTTTGACACATAGATTTCATATTATTTCTGAGCGTTGGTATTTACCACAAATATACAAATATAGAGTCCAAAATGTATATATTTCTGTTCATTGAAATGCTTTCTGATTATTGCCACTAAGTCTGACTAGCTGGGATTCATATAAAAACAAACAATAAAAAGATCCTGTTAATTCCTTTATGAATTATTTGGACTTGGAATTGGCTGTTACAGGATCATTGGGGAGCACAGATGTTTTCTTTACTTAAAGTACAAGAATATTAAGAGTCCTTTTAACAGTTACAGAGGCTTGCTTGTTAGTTTAGTGGGCCCAATTACACTATTGTGTTCTGGTGCGTTGCATTTAATTTTCTACATGCTGCTAACACGCCAGAATGTACAAAAAATCTATGTGCATTTTTGACAATGCAGCAGTAGTGTGTTACTGTGTGCTGCCATGCAGGTGCATTGGGAAGGTACATTGGGTTGAATGTGTGAATCTTGCCTAAAGGTAAATTGTACAGATGGAAGTATGCAGCCTGTCAATGCTGACCTCTTCTTCTGAAAATGCTGATTTTATGGTTATCTTGCTAATTCGAAAGCTTCGATTCCATTTTCCAAGTCTCTGACCTGGAATAAGTATGCAGATCAGGAGTTCTGATTTCAGTTGAACATCACTTGTCATATGCTTACAAAGTTTTGCTGTGGGGCCCTGTGATTTTCTAGTTATGTCCCTGCAAACCAAAATTGCATTTATTATTCCTCATACCTGATAAGTTGTTGGTAGCACTTACCAAACAATAAGAGCTCATTTACAAGGGTGATTAGGGCCAGATAGCAGATTGCTGCAACAAGAGTCAGTGGATTGCTGCGTCTGGGATCACATGTATACGGGTTGCTGTGCAAAGCAATGACAGGCTTACAGAAGCCGCGACTGTCCACATATCCAGCGGTTACATGTGGTTAGGGAGAGATGTCCGACCCTAGGTGCAGACAGATTTCATCCAGGGTTGGACATCTCTCCCTAACCTTAAAGTGACATTAAACCCTCAGATTTTTTAACATAAAACAATACTGTAATGTGTACCTTACTGTAATCCATGGTAGTTTCCCTTCTCTTTGCTGCTATTCCTTTTAAATCCTCATGTCTTCTCATGCTGGTGAAGAACTTCCCTTTGCAGCTGACTGCCTCTTCCTGTAGTGCTGGCTCAGGTTGCAAACCTACACACAGACACCATGTAGCAATTCCAGAGACAAGGCAGTCTGCTGCAAAACAGAAGTTCTGCCCAGCATGAGAAGAGGTACTGATTTAAAAGGAAGAGCAGCAAAGAGAAGGGAAACAACCATGGATTACAGTAAGGCACACATTACAGTATTGTTTTATGTTAAAAACTCTGAGGGTTTAATGTCACTTTAAGTAACTGCTGTCCATCACTAATCGCACGTGTGCATTAATCCTTTGTCAGTTTGTGCATTTTTCTTTTTTGCTATGTAAAACTTAAACTGCAGAAGTTTTCATGCTGAGATTTTATAGGTGATGTACTTCAAATGTAATACATTTGTGCATGATTGTAGCTTCTAACTCAGGAACAGCCTGTTTTAATCTTGATCAGATCAGGAAGAAATGTTTTTTTTTAAGGCCTCATTCACACGGGCGTGTTGCTCTGTACAGAGTGAAGGGCCGGTTTTTCATGTGCCCAGAGCTGCAGGAAGAAGCATAAAGGCAGTTCATTCAACTCTATGGAGACACAGAAGCTGTGCACCCTCACAAGCTGCTTTCCGCAGCTCTGAGTTTTGACACTCGCACACAATGGTGTATGGCCTTGGATGCAGATATGATGGATGCATGTTCATACACCAGCTGTGTGCAGCTGTTGAAACTCTGAGCTGCAGAAAGCAGTGTGTGCGGGCGCGCAGGTCCTGTGTCGCCAGAGAGTTGAATAAGCTGCCGTACGTTTCTTCACTCAGCTCCAGCCGCCTGAAAAAAGGCCTAACGAAAAAGATACCTTATTGACTCCTTACAGGAAAAACCCCCAAAATTGGATGAGGGGGGGTGCTCGCACTGAGCGCGGATGGCGCCGCCACTCAGTACAAAAATAGATAGATGTCCCCTTCATCAGGCGTCATTGCTGAGCCTGATGAAGGGGACCCTGCGTGGCCCAGAAAGCGCTAGTGTTGGTGACGTGACATTCCAATGTATGGAGCAATACTCCCCATGTGAATGAGGCCTAACAATGAATGCTTCGAACATGCCCAACTTGATTAAAGTTAGTTATAGCCAAAAAAAATTTGGGTGGTTTGGATACACTACGGAATGGACAAAACTTTTTTTTTTTCCATATACATTTTTATTTAAGATAAAAGGCAATAACATGACAATTTATCATAGCACAAAGTCATGGTACTTCAATATACAAAACATAATTTTCGGTACTGGTTGGAACCTGGAATTCAAAATTCTCAGCCGCAGAGGATTTACCTGCGCGGGGGGGTGCGGTGTAAGTGCTGGCAGGCATGCATTCCAGTATATAGACATGTATTCCAGGTGGTTAAAGTGTGGGACACAGGCCGAGAAGCTTGATGGCATACAGCCTGATCATCCGGACAAAACTTTTTTATGTGCTATTCCTATCGTGTTGGATTCCCCTTCATTCCCTGAGATGCAACAGGATGTGAGAGGAGCTCTCTTTATAGGGAAGGATATCAAAAATTAGTTGTCATCAGAGCAGGTCTCCCCAATGGAAAAATTCCCTTTACCTCCTGTTCCAATGACAACTGGAATATTTTTGAATTTCCAATCACTTTCTGTCCCTGTGACAATGTGTATCATGAAAAATAAAGTAAATATCCACTCTGGGGACACAGACAGCAATAAAAGCCTAATAGAGGCTGTAACCCTTCTCTACCCTATGCAACATTTGAATGTTTTGTCTAGAGAAACACTTTAAATGGCCTGACCTTGTTTTTATGCATCATTATTTATTTTCTGGTTTTTGGTGCTTTTTAGGTTGCAGAAAGTAGGAGCAGAAGATGTTTAGTGCTGTTAGATCTCCTACCAGATCCCTTTACGTCAGATGGTGCTCATCCTACATCAAACAGACACGGTAAGTCAGGTTAAGAACATTTTTAGAGCCTGATTTCCTATTTCTTCTGATAATACATGAATATTAAACATTCTTTCTTCTTTCTGAATATATATGGAAAATGAGTGACCTGAATGTTGCATTTTTTTGGCTTGAAATACAGATTTTGGATTTTGTAGAACAGAACAAAATTGATATTTCCTTAGCTTTTAACAAATATTTTTATATAGGTTCCTGCCCTGCTAAACCATTAGGCAATACACAAATATACTTGCAGTTGTTTTAAAGGGGGAATATAGTCTCTATAATGTTATTGCACATACCTGCAGCAGTCTTCCAAACCTTCCAGTCACGTCCAAATCCTAGGTCATTCAGCTTGCCAATTCAAGCTTTCCACTTAGACCTGCCCCCACGCACTCCTATTGGCTTATCACTATGGTGGTCAGCATCACTGGCCACAGGACTTCCAAGGAAGCAGGAAAGAAAGGGTAAGCTTTGCCATTATCAAGACATGCCAATGTTTTGCCTTGCCTAATTGGCCTGAGATTTTTTTTTGTGGCAGAGTGATTTGGTAGTTTGCTGCAGGTAGGTATCTTCAATTCATACATTGCAGTGTTTCCCCCTTCCCTCCAGTGACAGAGTCTCTTTAAATGCTGTAAACAGATCTGTAACAAGGTCTTTTTACTTGCAGTGTTATAGAACTGAAAACAAGGAAACTGAAAAGTACATTTGTTTCAAAGCATTTTAAATATAACACACTAGACCACATTAAAAGGGGTTTACATCCCATATCTACTTCAGACTTTGAAAATCCAACATTGCATCACCTACCCCTGCCACCTAGCTCCTGAGTTTACCAGTGTCTGGGAACCACAGTTATACATATCATCTGTAATAGCACCTTTTGATAAGCCCTAGTTTTAAATGGAACAATATTCATACAGTGATGCTTAAAACACAACTGCTGTACCTGAATGCTTGTTCTTAAAGTGAACATGTGGCCTGACTAAGCACATTTAAGTAGTGGCATATTCTTAACAAGCAGTAAGATCTTTAAAACAAGCTCTCAATGACTTCTAAGCTGCAGTTTCTGTGGAGCAATTCATCCTCAAATGTGCAGCAGAAGCACTGATATCATTCATCAACTCCCCAAAAAGACAGGAGTTTCAACCCTTCCATATTCTATCCAAACTAACTTTTTTTAAGTTTTCAGTAAAGTAAGTCAGGGTTGAAACCCCATCAGGTTGTTTGACACTGCAACATCTGTCACCATTGGAAGATTTTCCCTCACCTGCAGTTCTCACAGTACCTCTAAAATTTAGGATTTCCCCTTACTTTCTGCCTCAGGGACAGCAATCAGTGGAACAAAAAGAGGGGCAAATCTCCCTATTGCTGACATGGACAGCAATAAAAACTTGTCAGAGAGTCCCCACCCTATTCAAAACCAAGAAAGAATGTTTTGCCTTTTGTGTATGCTGTAAAGGAGCAGCTCCAGGACTGTCATTCTCCTTTTAAGAAGCAGATAAAACATAATGGTGAACTTGCTCATGTAGCTTTTTATTTTTATTGAAGAAATGTCAGAGGTGATCCTCTGCAGATTAAAATTGAATATAGTTAGCCATGGACATTTTTATTAGATTTTTTTTTTAAATTACTGTTGGTTTTAAACGCTGAAATATTTATTTGACTTGCCTTCTCTAAATATAAAGAGAACTCTTGAAAGAACACCCAATTGCCATTTAATACTCTGCACTCAGGAATGTCACAGTGTATTTAGCTCTGGGCAAGATCGTATGATGAAATTTCCAGCAGTAAAATAATGTGGCTTGAAAATCTGGTGAAACCAAGCTATTTTTAGAATGAATTCACTGCTTTTTATCTGGTATTTTAAAACATAATTACAGTGTATATAGGAGTGGCACAAAGAAACAGTATGCAAATGACAACCTTATTTCCCTTTCCTCTGTAAACATACCAGCCCACGTGTGCCCACTCAAAAGAGTAACGTTTCATTTTTTTAAGTTTTTGTTTTACTTAATATAAAACAAATGTGAGCATTAAATGTTCGTGGAAATGTAAGTGTAACCAAACTTGTAATGTAAAATCTGCTAGCAGGAAGGTATTTATGGTAGAAGAGACTTTGTTAAGCTGGGCATACACTGCCAGAATTGCGTATGAACGTTCATACGAAAAATCTTGTCAGAACATTCGATAATGCCATCAACCTTGATGAAGGTCGTACTAAATCTTGTTTGATTTTAACATTCGATTTTGGAATGAATGGAGTTTCCTAAAAGAAAACCGTATTCACTGTTCTAATTTTTTTTTGTCACTACGTTCGAAAATGATTGTTTATTTGGACCCTTTAACTATTAGAAAATCAGATGAACATTCAGAAAATGATTGATTTCAAACTGTGTATACCCAACTTAAGTCTCTTCTGCCATTAAACCTCTTGACAGCTGCAATTGCCGGTAGTAAATGTTGGGTGCCAGGACAAAGTAAGTACCATGTGCATGCTCTTATGTCCTCTCGGCCCTGCCATTCAAGAGGGCCAGATACTCACTCCAGATTCAGAAGAATACCAGTAGAAGATGGAAGCAACAGTGATAAGGAGGAACGTGGGCATCCCATCGCTGGAGGGGACACTTTGCAAGGTAAATGTGCCATTATAGACAAATATTCTGTGCAGAAGAGGTAGCCTCCTTTCAGCAGGAAAGGGAGCGCAAGTAGAAAGAGCAACAACCTGTGCTACTGAAGTATTTCA